GAATATAGAAATGTAAGACATGGCAACGTTTCAGAGACACCTGATTGGGCGACGGGCAAATGCACTGTTTAGTGTATCGATCTTGATGTACCGTGCCGAGGGCTGTGCTGTGCAACGCTGTGCTGAATTGCGCTGTGCCATGCCGCGATTGTGCTCTATAGCGTTGTGGATCGAGTCCTGATTTGCATCCGAGTCCTGACCGAAATGATCTGGATCTTAAGCTCGAGCTGCCTGAGCACATAACTAGTAGCTGCCCCAGAGCTGATTGAAAGGGAAAATGCCAGGAGGACGCGCCGCGGAATGTCCCAAGGGACGCGCCAGGCGAGGTGCCAGGGGACGTGCCACGGGGACGCACCGCGGGACGTGCCAAGGGGACGCGCTACGGAACGTGCCAATGGACGTGCCACGGGACGTGCCAGGGGACGCGCCGCGCGACGTGCCAGGGGGACTCGCCACGGGACGCGCCAAGGAACATGCCAGGTTGGAATGCTGAATGTATCGATCTTGATGTACCGTGCCGAGCTGAGCCATGCTGAACTGCGATGTGCCATGCCGCGATTGTGCTTTATAGTGTTGTGGATCGAGTCCTCCTTTGCATCCGAGTCCTGACCGAAATGATCTGGATCTTAAGCTCGAGCTGCCTGAACACATAGTAGCTGCCCCAGAGCTAATTGACAGGGGGACATGCCAGGAGGACGCGCCGCGGAACGTCCCAAGGGACGCGCCAGGCGAGGTGCCAGGGGACGTGCCACGGGGACGCACCGCGGGACGTGCCAAGGGGACGCGCTACGGAACGTGCCAATGGACGTGCCACGGGACGTGCCAGGGGACGCGCCGCGCGACGTGCCAAGGGGACTCGCCACGGGACGCGCCACGGAACGTGCCAAGGAACATGCCAGGTTGGAATGCTGAATGTATCGATCTTGATGTACCGTGCCGAGTTCTGTGCTGTGCTGAGCCATGCTGAACTGCGATGTGCCATGCCGCGATTGTGCTTTATAGTGTTGTGGATCGAGTCCTCCTTTGCATCCGAGTCCTGACCGAAATGATCTGGATCTTAAGCTCGAGTTGCCTGAACACATAGTAGCTGCCCCAGAGCTAATTGACAGGAGGGCATGCTAGGAAGACGCGCCGCGGAACGTCCCAAGGGACGCGCCAGGCGACGTGCCAGGGGACGTGCCACGGGGACGCACCGCGGGACGTGCCAAGGGGACGCGCTACGGAACGTGCCAATGGACGTGCCACGGGACGTGCCAGGGGACGCGCCGCGCGACGTGCCAGGGGGACTCGCCACGGGACGCGCCACGGAACGTGCCAAGGAACATGCCAGGTTGGAATGCTGAATGTATCGATCTTGATGTACCGTGCCGAGTTCTGTGCTGTGCTGAGCCATGCTGAACTGCGATGTGCCATGCCGCGATTGTGCTTCATAGTGTTGTGGATCGAGTCCTCCTTTGCATCCGAGTCCTGACCGAAATGATCTGGATCTTAAGCTCGAGCTGCCTGAACACATAGTAGCTGCCCCAGAGCTAATTGACAGGAGGGCATGCTAGGAAGACGCGCCGCGGAAAGTTCCAAGGGAGGCGCCAGGCGACGTGCCAGGGGACGTGCAATGGGGACGCACTGCGGGACGTGCCAAGGGGACGCGCTACGGAACGTGCCTATGGACGTGCCACGGGACGCGCCGCGCGACGTGCCAAGGGGACTCGCCACGGGACGCGCCACGGAACGTGCCAGGTTGCAATGCTGAGTGAGTGTATCGATCTTGATGTACAGTGCCGAGGGCTGTGCTGTGCTGCGCCGCCCTGAACTGCGATGTGCCATGCCGCGATTGTGTTTTATCGTGTTGTGGATCGAGTCCTCCTTTGCATACGAGTCCTGACCGAACTGATCTGAATCTTAAGCTCGAGCTGTCTGAACACATAGTCCACATAGTAGCTGCCCCAGAGCTAATTGACAAGGAAACATGCCAGGAAGACGCGCCGCGAAACGTTCCAAGGGAGCCGCCAGGCGACGTGCCAGGGGACGTGCCACGGGGACGCACCGCGGGACGTGCCAAGGGGACGCGCTACAGAACGTGCTGGGGACAAGCGTCGTGTTGGTGGCCTGGACACGTAAAAACACGGTGCCAGCTCGGGACAACCATGTTAGATACCCCCTGGGTGGCCTGGACACGTAAAAACACGCGGTTCCAGCTCGGGACAATCATATTAGAGATCTCCCTTGGTGGCTGAGCATGAAAAAAACACGTGGTTGCAGCTCGGGACAGCCATGTTAGATCCCCCCCTGCGTGACCTGGATACGCTGAGTTCGCGCTCGCGCTCGAGACATCCTCGCAACGTCTTCCCTGGAGAGGCCCTCAAAGCGCAACCCCCTATTCAGAGCAAGAAACCATAACTTTTCTGTTTTGGGACATGTGTTCGGGTAGCGCTTTTCGGCCCCCCGTGTGTTTCCTCATAATTCGGCGTTGGGCCCGACGCCATGCTAGATACCCCAACTCTGCAAAACCAGCGTTTCGCTCGAGACATCCTCAACAATTTCTGAAACACCAGCGTTTCGCTCGAGGCATCCCCCAACTTTGCAAAACCAGCGTTTCGCTCGACATCCTCAAGAAATTATGAAAAACAAACGTTTCGCTCAAGACGTCCTCACGAATAATTCCGCCGGCCTCCGTCAAACTCGTCATTTATCGCAAAATAATTCCGCCGGCCTCTTTCAAGTCGATTCCGGGGGTAAACCTCTAAAAAGAGAACCTTGGGCCCCCGCCCTTTCAGGGAAAACGAAGAAGATGAGGGGGAACCCAGGACGGATGGAGGAGGTGGAGGATGCCCCTGCGGTAGCTGTTTCTCCCGGCGGCGGGGCCGACACCAGCAGTAGCTTTAGTACCCTCCCCGCCTTTCCCTATCCCCCCCCCCCCCCCCCTCCTCCTCCTCCTCTCTCCTCCTCCTCCTCCTCCTCCTCCTCCTCCTCCTCCTCCTCCTCCTCCTCCTCCTCCTCCTCCTCCTCCTCCTCCTCCTCCTCCTCCTCCTCCCGCTCGCCCTCCTCCTCCTCCTCCTCTTCCCCTTCCCCCTCCTCCTCCTTCGTACCCCCCCCCCTTTTCCCTATCTCCCCCTCTCGTCCGACCCGACCCGTCGGTGCCCCTGAGGGTCCCTGAGGTCCGACGTCGCGAAGGCATGATCGACCCACGGACCTGGAAAGGGAGTTAGAACTGCGAGGCCCAGGGACTCCCAAGCATCTCAATTGGGCGATGCACAGTGGCAACGATGAAAATATCAATGGTGATGTGAACTACTGTGCCAAAGGCTTTGTCGTGCTTCTCTCCGCTGTGCCGCGCCGCACAATGACGTGCCAGAGGACGCGCCAGGGGACGTGCCGCAGAACGTGCCAGGGGGATGCGCCACGGAACTGGCCAGCGGACGGGCCAGGGAACGTGCCAGGGGACGCGCCACGGAACGTGCCAGGGAACGTGCCCAAAGGCCACGATCCTCTGTGAATTACACAGCGCCCGCGCTCCCAGGTCCAAGATTCCTTGTGAATTACGCTGCGTCCGCGTCTCCAGGGCCGCGTCGGGCGCCAGACGTATGTAGGAGATCCTCTCCGCGCACGTAGTTACGTGCGGAGAAGCCGACGACCTCAGGTTGGATATCCCCCTGGGCACACTCTCCTTGAGCCGACACGCACGGGATGCATTTGGAACCTCCTGCGGCCCTCTGTGGCCCCCTGGGGGCTCCTAAGGCCTCCTGGCGCCTCCTGGGCCCTCCTGGGGCTCCTAGGGCTTCCCGCGGTCTCCTCTGGGACCTTCTGGTGCCTTCCCGTGCCTCCTGGCCTTCCTGGAGCTTCCCGGGGCCTCCTTGGCCCTCGTGAAGCCTTCTGGGGCTTCCTGGGCCCTCCTGGGCCCGACGCCATGTTAGATACCACCCTGGGCGGCCTGACCATGAAACCGATTGGCCCCAACTCGGGACAACCCTGTCAGACACACCCCTGGCCGGCCTGGACACGTGAAAACGCGTGCATCCAGCTAGGGACCACCATGTTAGATACCCCACATTGGCTTGGACTCGTGACAACAAGCGGCCCATGCTCGGGATAACGATGCGGGATACCCCCCAGGGTGGCCTGGACGCGTAACAACACATGTTCATCGGGACACCCAGGTTCGATACCCCTGCGGGTGGCCGGGACACAAGAAAATACGCGGCAAATGCACGGGCTCGCATGTTGGATATCCCCTCCGCGCACGTGTTTTCACGTGCGAACTCGCCGACGACCTCATGTTGGATATCCCCCTGGACGCACTTTCTTCACGCGGGAACGCACGGGTCGCACTTCTCCCACCGAAAAGTGGCCCGCATCCTGTGCTTAACCGATCGGGACTTCAAATTGAGCAGATACCGACCGTCGTGCAGACCACCAAAGGTTCTTAGAACATTCTTTGGTGGGCCTATGGGCAAGCCAGGACGCCTCGCCACTGCTTGATCAACGCTTCGCTTGGAACCCTCAACACATTAGCCGCTGGCAACCTTCGACCTCGTTATTTCTCAAGGAAAGGATCCGCCAGCCTCCTTTAGTAGAGGCACTGGGGACAGGTTTACCATTTGAAAGAGAACCTTGGGCCCAAGCCCTTTCCAGGACAAGTTGGAAAGCCAGGACCTCAGGCTTGCCCTCCCGCCTTTCCCTGTCCTGTCCCCCCTCTCGTCCGACCCGACCTGTCGGTGCCACTGAGATTGCGTTCGTCGCCTCCTTGGAACTCGAGGCCTCTCAAATATGATCGAACCGGATGGAAGTGAATTGAATGCTAGAGCAAGGAGCCTCCTCGAATCTGAAATCTTGAGCCAGCACATCTTCAGCCCAAACGGCTTGAGCCAAAATGGAACTCCAGACCTCCCAAGCATGGTCGGAGCAGGTGGGGTCGGAAGGTCGCGCCACACCGCCGATGCCTCGCTTCTTCGCCCCAGGTGGGCCCCCGAGGCCCCCGCGCAGGCCGCGGCTGCCGCGCCGTCCTGCCAGCGCGTTCTCGAACGTGACGCCGGGGACCGACGCGGGCGAGAAGCCTGGCTGGGGGGCGTCCGGGAGGGAGGGTGCGCAGGTCATGGCCCGAGGCACGTGCGCGGACGAGGGGGGGGGGCCAGGGGACGTGCTGAGACGAGAAGAGGCGCCATGAAGGCTGGGGAGATGTCATGGCCTCGGCCGTGATAACCTCTCCCAGCCCCTGGCCGCCCTGGCCATCGCCCCCCTCCTGGCCGCCCCCGACTGGCGCGGGGCGCCGCGGCCGACCGGGAAGGGGGAAGCGTCGAGCTGGCATCGGCGATACGTCATGCACACATCGGCGATGGGGCCTACCGCCGATGACGTCCGAGCTGCATCGCCGCGCGCGCGCGAACCAGCGGGGAAAGAGGCGGGACATGGCCGTTCGTGCGCCGCGGGCGCCTTCGCCTGAACATCAAGCTCTCTACGAGACAGAGTGTCGTAAGCACGTCCCTGGCGTTGGGCCCACGATAGCGAATCTGGGCGGTCCTGGGTGGGGTAGGCTTTCGGGCCCCTATCGGCGATGAATGGGCGACTGGGGGCCCCGACGTTGCCCGTGAGGAGGGGGGGGGGAGTTTCGCAGATCGAGGGTCTACTGTATTCTCCCTGGGCCTCCAAGAGGCTGCTGGTCGCTGCGGCCTACCGGGGGAGGGGAAGACGCTCCCGTATAGACTGGCCGCATTAAAAAAACATGATCGGCCCACGAACCCGGCAAGGGATTTAGAACTGCGAGGCCTGGGAACGGCTCCAAGAACCTCACTTGGGCGATGGGCAGTGGCAGCGCTGAAAATATCAATGATGGTGTTTTTGTGCTAGTGGTTGTGTTGTGTTTCTCTGAACTGTGCCGCGCCGCACATTGCCGTGCCAAGGCACGCGCCACGGAACATGTCAGTGGACGTGCCAGAGGACGTTTCAAGGGCCACGGTCTCCTGTAAATTACGCTGCGTCCGCGCTCCCGGAGCCGCGATCCCTCAAGAATTGCGCTGAGTCCGCGCTCCCAAGACCACGATGCCTTGCAAGTTACGCTGCGTCCGCGCTTCCAGGGACTCGAAGCACTCCGCGGAGGTTGCCCAAAAGACCCCCCCCCATCCGCAGAGCAGAACAACATGCTATTCTTCATTGGGATATGCGTTCGGGAGGGCGCTTTTCGGTCCGCCCGCCATTTCCTGAAAATTGTGCGCGGGACACGAAGGAGCGAAACCTCGTTCGTAAATTACTCCCAAGGCCGCGATCCCTCGTAGATCATCCCGTGTTCGCGCTCCCAAGGGCCACGATCCCTTGTAAATTGTGCTGCGCCCGTGCTCTTCAGGGCAGCGGTCCCTTGCAAATTGCACGGGGGTCACGCTCCCGGGGCCACGATCCCTACCACGCTGCGCTCGCACTCCCAGGGCCCAGGCCCCTTGTAAGCTATGCTCGGTCCGCCCCCCCAGGGCCAGGATCTCTCGTAAGTTACACGGCGTCCGCGCCCCCAAGGCCACGATACCATGTAAGTGACGATGCTTCCGCGCTCCCAGAGCCACCTGGGCGTCCTGAGGCGCCCAGGCTCTTTGAGTGCTGCAAATTAACGTTTCGCTCGATAAATCCTCGGGGATTCTGCGCGCAGGACGCACCATCCTCAGCGGACACGGCAAAATCATGTTATATGTCCCGGATTCTGCGGGAAACGCTCCGCGCCTTATTTTTTACAAGCGAAAAGGAAGGTCAGCGGACCTCGTTATTCATCGCGGACCCGACAAGCATGGGGTGTCCACTTTCCTCGAGCGGCCACGCGAAACGATTTTTTTCCACGCCGAATGGGGCTTGACCTCGATTTTTTATCAAATGGAATTCCGCCGGCCTCCCCCCAACATGGCACCCACGGGCAAATTTAACAACTCAAAAAAAGAACCCTGGGCCAGAGCCCTTGCCGGGAAAAATACAAGTGAGTGACTCCAGGCGTGGTCATTTCTGCAAGATTCTGCGCGAAACGCTCCATACCTCCCTTTAGCGACGGAAAGCGTGGGTCTGCGGACACCGATATCTACCTGACATCAGATGGGGGGCGCACTTATCACGAGCGGGCGCACGCGAAACGTCACTTTTCTACGCGCACTTTGACTCTGCCGAATGTTTAACGAGCGGAAGTTCGCCGGCCCTCTTCGCCCATGGTACCAGGGGTCACGTTTACCTAACTGTAATAGAACCCTGGGCCCCTGCCCTTTCCAGGAAAAAACATGTCAGCGATATTCGGAAACGGAGCAGGCAATGACAAACACATGTTGTTGAACGCGTTTTTCGGCTCTGCGAATATCGCACCGAAGCCAATCCATATGTGCTGGCTGCAGACATGGTGCCCAAAAGCAGACGCGAGCAGCACGGGAAAACGTGGCGCTCTCGAGAAGCCACCCCAGCCCGCCCATCTTGACTGGTCCAACGGTCAGCTCACTGGCACCCCGCCTCACCACGGCCCGAAAAAGCCGAGAGCGGGCCATTTCGCCGAACGCGTGGGGCAGCGCTGCAAGATCGCCTGGGAGAAAGAAGTCCGCCAACAAAAAAACTTGAGCCAGAATGGCTACGGATAACTGAACGCGTGATGTTGAATATGATGCTTGCCCTTGTATAGCCCACAGAAGGTAAGTTGTTGGATGGTGGGTGTCCAAGCTGTGTGGCAAAATTTGTGCTGTGGAAGAGATGGCATGCAGTTTACGTGGTGCAAGCTATGCTGTGCAAATGATTTGGAACACGCTAGGTGGTGGAATCAATATATGAGGTGCAAGCTGTCCAGTTGAAGCTGTGTGGAGCCATATGAGTGGTGTAAGCTATGTGGTGACAGCCATGTTGTGCAAAACATGATGTGCAAGCTAACTGGTGCAATATACATGGTGTACTTCAAACCATGAGGGGCGAGCTACGGGTGCAAGCTATGTGGTGCAAGATATGTGGTGCACGTGCTTGGTGCAATATGCGTGGTGTAAGCTATGTAGTTCAAGCTACAGTGAGGTCGTTGGATAAGGAGTCAGTGGATAAGACATCCAGGATCTGGAAGCCAGTGGAATTCCTTTGCGGATTGGCCGTGGGTATCACCGCCATTCTGATCAGATGAGAAGGCCTCCAGGGTCTGAAGCCTCCTGGGCACATTCCTCAACCAACGCCCCCACCGTACGTGAGAAAGCATTGTGGGGCGAGTTATGTGGTAGATGCTATTCGGTATAAGCTGTGTTGTGCAGTCTACCCAGTGGAATATGTGGTGTGGGCTTGGATGACCCAGCTATGCAGTGCAAGATATGTGGTGCAAGCTGTCATACAATACACGTGGTACCATCTATGTGGAGTAAGCTACGTGACACAAGCGATGTGGTGTAGACTACGTGGTGGGAACTATGTGATGCAGTATACATGTTGCAAGCTATCTAGTGCACGCTATTTTGAGCAAGATCGGTGTTGCAAGCTACATAGGGCAAACTGTGTGGTTCAAGCTATGTGGTGAAATCTGTGCGTTGTAAGGTATGTAGCATGAGCTACGTAGCGCAACCAGTGTGGTGCAGGCACCGCTGTGTGAGGTATGTGGTGCAAGCTATGTGTCGCAAGCTATGTGATAATAGCTATGTGGTGCAAGCTAAGTGGTGTAGGCGTTGTGGTGAAGGCTATATGGTGCAAGCTATGTTGTGCAATCGATGAGGCACAAGCTCGATAATGCAAGTTATGTGCAAACTGTCGAACATGTGCGCTTATACATGTGTGTATAGTTTTTTTTGTGTGTGTGAGAGAGACACTCGGATATTCGCGGAGACGGGTTTCGAGGATCGACATGCGAATATCAAGGATCGATGTGCTTTGCCCCCTCTGGGCTCCACGAAGCTGGTCGCCACGGCTGCATCCTTCCTGAATCCCTGCCCTGAACGCAAGCCTGGACAGGTCTGGAGTCGATTTCTGACCCACGGCACCCAACCATCAGGGCTTATCAGAGACCTCGGGACGATGGTGCGTTGTCCCCAGGTGCGTGGCTGAAGCGGGATTCTGAAGTGCGGACTGTTATCTCGTACCGTCCTCGCCTGCGTCCCGCTCGCGACCCACCCCGCGACGGATCCGCGACCCACCAACGACCCACTCCACGACCCACCCCTGACCTGCTCATGGTCCCCCCGCGACCCACCTGCGGCCTGCGGCGGGCTCCTCGTGAAACACGGCTGCCGACGACCCTCCTCCCTCTGACCCCTAACTGTGGAAGCTCCTGAAACAAACTTGCTGTGCAACTTGTGACTTCGCGCGGAATCATCCTCAGGCATTTACATGGGAAGCGTCGGGGCGGACCCGCTTCCATGAATGGGAGAGGGATGAGGAGGGAGGAGGAGGGATGGGAAGGAGGGAGACGGAGGGAGAGAGAAGGACGGGGAGGAGGAGGAGGAGGAGGAGGATGAGGATGATGATGAGGAGGAGGAGGAGGAGGAGGAGGAGGAGGAGGAGGAGGAGGAGGAGGAGGAGGAGGAGGAGGAGACGGAGGAGGAGGATGAGGAGGAGGAGGAGGAGGAGGATGACTGGGAGGGAGGAGAACGAGGAGGAGGAGGAGGAGGAGGAGGAGGAGGAAGAGGAGGAGGATCGGGAGGCATAGGGAGGAGGGAGAGCGCGTCACGGGGGGGATTAGGTTAGGACAGCCCCGAGGGGAAGAGTCTCGCAAGACTAAAACAAACAATGGGGGGAAGTGGCACCCTTCGGAGAGGGATTTGTTACCATGGAGGACAGAGCTCCCCACACTCTGACCAGGGCCCGCGACGGGGTGCCACGACCCAAAGCTACTCCTCAGCCTGGAGGGCCTCCTTGGCTCGCACTCGCTCAGCAAGGGCGGCCATCCGTCTCTCGTACTCAGGGACGGTGGGGGCACTCGAATGGGCCGAGGGAACAGACGTACAGGCAAGGGTCTTAGACCGCGGCTTGGGGACCACAGACATTGCAGTGACCGCAGCAGCTCTAGCAATCAATTGACGGACACGACTACTGGGGCCCAGGCCTCGCGAGTACGTACTTAGTACCTCGCGTCCCTTCCTAGAGG